TGGCAAAACTCCGCCTATCCTCCCAGGTGCAAATGAACTTCTACCGTTGCACCATCGAGAGCATCCTCTCCACCTGCATATCAGTATGGTACGGTAACTGCACGGTCAAGGACAAGAAATCACTGCAGAGGGTGGTGAAGATCGCACAACGCATCATCAAGATGCCACTCCCCTCCATAGCCTCAGTCTATGAAAAGCGGTGCCTGCGAAGGGCACGAAACATCATCAGAGACTCTTCCCACCCCAACCATACACTGTTTATCCCCCTACGTGGCACCCGCTCTGGGACACGCTACCGCAGCCTCCCGGGTAGAACCAACAGGACTACGCACAGCTTCTTCCCTTCAGCAGTCAGACTGCTGACAATGAACCCCACGCTGTCCCATACTGCCTAGTTGTTGTCGTGTGCTGTGCTGAAGCGCAATTCTGTATTCACTGTATTTATTATTATCTGTGTATTTATTCCTATTTATACATTTCCCATCTATTTACCTTTATGTTTGTATCATTTATTTTGGTACATACTTCTGATAATTGTGTATGTAACTGACTGTTTTGCACTCTGGTTAGACCATCCTTAAATTTCGTTTGACACTGTGCTTGCATTTTTGTAATGACAATAAAGTAATCTAATCTAATCTAATCTAATTTTACAAATCACTCCCCTTTTAAAACAAACCGTTTGAGACCCACTGACATAACTAGACTCAAGTTAACTATCTAAACACTGAGAGTCCTTTACTTCACCTGAGCTGAGGTTATCTGAAACTCTCAGTCTGACAGGAGAGAGTTCTCCCTCCACCTTGATGTTGAAAAAGCTCCTTATATCCGTTAGCTTGGCTAGCTAGCACCAGATGCTAACCACAACGATCTCCGGTAGATACCCACCAGTGCGCGAGCTCTCTCTCTCGCTCGCTTGCGCACGCACACAAAATGGCTCGTGCCACACACACACAGAGCAGAGCTTGAATGAAACACAGAGACCCAGAAGTAAGCTACTTGTACTCACGAGGCCTATTATGTGCAGAATCCCTCTCACTTTCATGTGGTTTTGATTGAGTGTCCACACGTGGACGTTTAAGGACTAAAAAACGATCCATTTGTCACTTTGCTGTTAGCAAATAATTTGGGGCTCCAGCTAACAGGAAGTCACTCAAGTGTAAAGTGATTTAGCCTATGGGTAGGTCAAAAATCTAATGGGTGCTGGCCATTGGCCTAATCATATCACCTGTGTTGGCTTTATGTTTTTGGTCAAACATTTGTTTGTTTCACATTTGCATTGATGTAATCAATACTTTTTCTGATTTAATTTAATGAAAATAATAATAATAATTTTCGGGAAAAAAAACAAACATATTTCTTGGGGGTGCTTAGGGGGTGCTTTGGCAATCCTGGGGGGTGCTTCAGCACCCCCTAGCTCCCCCCTGGCGCCGCCCCTGCCTGGCTGGAGTGAGATTTTGATATCATGGGTTTAATTACACGTATGCACACTAAATGACTGCTATCGCGTCCGTACCATATATATATATATATATATAGGATATATATATATATACAATATATACAAATACACAATATTGGACATAGACTATAAAGGGCACAAAGTTTCATTCACTAATGAAAGTCAAACACATGTTTGTTTCCACTGTTTTATTGTGACTCTATTTTGGCCTAGTAGAACAATAAGCAGCAGACTTTGACTTGTTTATCATTTCTACTGGTGGTTCGTATTTGAAGCAGCATGGTTCAATCTGACTTCCTTTGATGCACATAATGGATGACAGTGTCCCATCAAGTGCAAGTCTGTTTCGACACTCTGTTTTGTTCAGTCCAATTACTGAGAAGACTCGTTCTGCATCCGCATTAGAGTGAGGTGGGCATAGGACAAGCTGGACCACCTTCCCAAGTCTGGGGAACTGTTCTTTACCAGTTACTCGGCTCTTCTGCGTAGTCAAGTGTGCCCACACCATGTCCATACGATGGAATTGTTCTTCCTCTCCAACACTCACCAGGGCACCTTTCCAGACCATGTCAGGGATATCCGTTTCCTCCAGCATTTGGAGCCGCAGACACCTGGCTTGCTTTTCGTCTAAAAGACAAAAACGTTCAAAAATAATAAATAGAAAATTGTAGTTTTGCATTTTTCATCAATAATGAATATGGGACTACAAACCAGTGGATTTGAAGTAGCTTGTCACGGCCTTGTCGACATGGAGTATGCGGTTGAGAGCCAGATCCAAACTGAGCCACCTAATGCTAAAATGCTGAAGTACCTCCAGAATTCTGAATAGAACAAAAATATGTATTTTAGATTGGCCCTTCAAACTATTTCTGAATCAATGCTTTTGAGTAGAATAAATGTGTTATGTGAGGATAACTTGCCATGAAGCATGTTCTTTCTCTTGGTGCTGGATTTAAACCAGTAGGCAAGATCGACGCAGAAATCTTCGACTTCAAAGCCCGACATCTGGAGGGTTAGCAAAATAAATGTGTTAGTGTTAATAATTTTACAATATGTACAAAGTGGCCATCCCAGTAAAAATGAAAAAAATACAGTTGTGACTGTCAAGTCATTACCTCGGAGTACACCAAGCCACCAGCGTGTGCATTATTGTGCACAATGTGGCAGGGACAGCCAAGAACGTAGATAGATGGATTTTGGTCCAGGACCCTGCTCTTAATCGAATTCCTGGCTCCCAGATTGACACTAGCACTGTCAACTGCAAGGGCCACGCAGTTGGTCCATGGGATACTGTGGCCTTCCAGCACCTCATTCATTTAGTTGAATATGGCCTCAGCAGTGCCACAGCTGGTTCCTGATGTCAGACCCATGTCAAGAAATCGTTGAATCACACCTTGTGAACTCCAAATGTTGACAGTCAGTGGATTCAACTTCTCTCTGCCTGTGACGACACAAATGTATTCAACACTTACTTAATTCTGTGTGACCCATGGTCAACATGAACACACTTACCAGTATCATTGGACCCATCAGTGGCCAAAGAGAAGGGATGATCACATAGATTTTTCACAAGCTCATCCATAAAATAGGGGGCTACACACTTGTTTATGATGGCTGTTGTTTTTGTCCTGACTGAGGAATACTTTTGGGCTATCTTGGAATCAGGGAAACACTTCTTAAACAGCGGACTCAGGTGATCCGAAAAAGCCAATGGGATGTTGTGCTGCACCATTGTCATGGCCACCTTCACTTCGGCTCTTCTGGTCTGTGGTTGTGTAATGAATGTATAAAACACAATCATATATCTACATAGGTGAGTATGCTGCTGTCAGGTCATTTATATTATTTTGACGTTCAATCAGTTTAATGATTTACAGGTTAGGCAAAGTTTATGTGACCCCAATCACTGCGGCTTAAACCCCACTAAATAACCATAACATCACTGTACTTAACCAACTTGTATACTAATCACCTGTGTTTCCAGCTGACCCATCTCAGTGCTTTGCGTTCCTTGTATGAACATATTCATTTTTGAAGAGCTCTCAACCATCTTTTGTTTTTTCAAGTGTGATTCCCTATTGATATGGCGAATCACATCAGCTCTGCCCTGGTGTCTGCATTCTAATTCATTCCTGCATGTGGAACACCAACAATGAAAAGGTGTAGTCCCAGGCGTGATGAATGGTCCACTGGGAATGAAACTTGGAGCCATATGAGGCTGCCCCTGCGCTCTTCCTTGCACACAGCGCCTCACACTCTCTCTCTATGGTCTATGAGGAAGAGATTTAGATATTGAATTAGCTTATTGAACACAAGTGTAGACACTGGCTTAACATGTTACAAATCATAACAAATAACAAGCATAATGGAATCAAAATGTGTAAACGGCAATCTACAATTGTGTAGTTATTTCATAGCAAATGTTACAATAAATAAAATAAAAACAGCTCGCTAGCAGCCTTGGCTACCTGTGAAACCTTTGGGGTATGATATTGTGAACTAGCCAAGTTACCTGCACTTGTGTCTCATCTTCATCTTCCCTCATTGTCTCCTCTGAGGATACTCTGCTGCCTCTGCCTTCCTCTGAACTGTTGTTGGCGAATGCCAGTCCCTCATCTCTTTCTCTCTCTTTAGTCTAAGTATTTCACAAAGCTCTCCATCTGGAATACCAGTTTATTTAACAAAGTCTGTCTTGAATACATACATACATAGTAGTTAGCAAATCATTTGCATAATAAAACACCATTATTGTTATAATATATGTTTCTTTTATTCTTTAAAAGCTAGCTGTTAACATAGCTTAAGCTATTTAGGGGACTGAATTACAACTTTAGCGCCCTTCAAACCTAAAAGTCAAGTGACAATCTTTTAATGTGCTATACATTCTAAAATGTTAACAAACTTTATAAACAAATATGTGGCCTTTATAGAATAGGTTATCTTACTCTAATCATATTTTCAAACATATTCAACGATATCGATAAAGTGCATTGGGCAAACCCACCTTTCCTTCTGTGGAGTTCGCCGTCGACTGATGAAAAGCCTGGCATTAAGACGGATCTGCGCATGCGCAATACGGGTCGGGGATTGACCAACCGGCTCCCACTGCTCTGCTGTCTGTTAACGTTGTTAAGAGTGGTGGGGGCGGGGAGGGAGCGGATCCACAGTTTGAGGCTTTGAGCAGCTGTCAACTCAACATTGCAAATAACCAACCAAAAACGATCGCCGGTTCATCTTGTTTTTGGCGTGAGAATAGTTTGGGCAGCGTGAGAGCGTGAGATTGAGAGTGAAAGCGTGTGTCACACGCCAGATGCGTGAGAGTTGGCAACCCTGAGCTAACCTAGTCATTTCAGATATACTGACAAACTCTAACAGTTATGAAACCTTTGTGTTGTATTATAAAGTTGGTGCCTGTGTGGGTCCATAGCGCTTTTCTTTTTTGCCGAAGGCCAGCATGAGGCCAATCTGGATATATCTTCAGATGCAGAAGATATTTATTTGTGTGTTTCAGTTTTCACTTCTTGGTTTCCTCCCGCAGCAGCGATGGGAAACTCGGACAGTCTCGTCGTCTCTCCGGCTGTATCCTCCGCCTCGCTACGTTTCTCCTCCAGGAGGGAGGAGCTGCCGTCGGCCCGAAGCTGGTGGAGGAGTCAGGGAGTCAGTGGGAGGAAGGGGAGGACGAACACCCCCCAAAACACCTTCATTCCCAACAAGACCTTCCCCCCCAACAACACCGTCACCCCCAAAAACTCCTTTACCCCCAACAACACCTTCACCCCCAACATCACCTTCACCCCCCCACCTTGCACCTCCTGGAGCTACCAGTCCGGAGCAGCCTCTCCTGAAAGGTACCTGCAGACTAAATAATACAATATTATTATTCTCTCTGTGAAAAGATTCTGACATTTTAACTTTTAATTCTAAAAGGTACTGATATTAAAGCACGAATACTACACTGTAAAAGATATTAATATCACACTGTAAAATTATTACTAGTACCACACTGTAAAAAGTAGTGATACTACACTGTAAAAGGTATAACTACCACACTGGGAAAAATATTGATAACACACTGTAAAAGGTATTAATCTGTTAAACCCGAGAGACCCCGGTACCGGGGCCCTCCCGCAACATCTTGCAGGAAACAGTGTCTGAGGTTATGTTCATTTAATAAACTATGAATGTTTTATATCCATGTAACGGGAAGAAACTCATCTAACTGATCTTTTTTTTTTATTTTTTTTTTTAAAAACACAATGCTAACGCTGAGGCTCTGAATTAGCAACGAGCGAAAAATGCAAACAGATTTACTGCACCGAAACTCACTCATAAAACCTTATTATGTATTCTTTCTGCACATCCAACCCATCGATCTGATCATGAGATGACACAGAATCGATGGGTACAGACATCATTACTCAATGATAAGAACTTGCGACTTTATAAACAAAAACAGATATCAAAACATGTGGTGCTAGGTAGCTAAAAACGCTAACATGGTTTACCTGTGTCGTAGTCTGGTCAAAAGTGGTCTTCAATGGCATTACAACGATAACGACGCTGCTGAAGTTAATCCATAGGTTAATCCAATGTGTCTGTGTCCCTTTGAAAGGATTTCTGATCATCCATGAGCAATAAACCTGCTTTTCCGTTTCAAGATGTCAGAGCTAGAGACAGGTTCGCTCTCATGGAAAACTGTGTGCACGAAGCCCCCACCTTTTTGTTTTACTATGCGTGTGTGTGTGTGTGTGTGTGGGGGGGGGGGGAAATCCCCCTTCGATTCTATTGGCTCTAACAGTCAGAAAGAGATGTCAATCAGCAAAATCGAGCAAGGGGGGCCAGAGATATGGAAAATCCACCCAAATGACCCCAGAAGTGTTTTTTTTGCTAAATCTCTCTAAAAAGGTCAGATTTCACTTGTTTTGCATCAATCTTGATACAGGGTACTTATTATATGTTGTACTTTGGATTCCTATAGCTTTTAGTCTACCTTACCATCATCCAAGGTTAGTTTTCACTATAAGTAAAAAAGAATTTTTGGACGGACACTATAATTTACAGTTTTTTACCATGTTCAATCTGAATTTTCTTTAAAATAAAATTATCTATATTGATTCTGACTTTTCTACATCCAACTCACAGGTTTATCATTACTTTGAGGAAAAGGATTATTAATTTATCCCTTTTAGAAGATATGGTCATTTGTTCTGGGAATGTCATTTTGGAGCCTGAGACCTGAAAAACAGGATTGGGGCTGAACAGGTTAAGAAGACCCAATTGTAAAAAGTAGTGATACTACACTGTAAAAAATATCAATAGCACACTGTAATTCAGGTTAAGAGACACAAGGAGGTCAAAGGTAGGATGATACAAATAAAATAAATAATGATTTCTCTCCGACAGATAAGACACAAGTGAATCGATGCAACAATATAAAACCCCATTAAACAAAGTGAACATATAGGTACAACAGAAATACAAATAAAAAGATAATCACTGGCCACTACAAAGGTCTAATTTTAAAGATGGCGTCCAAGATGGCCGAAAATATATATTTTTAAATTATTGATTCTACAGTTTCAACAATTAGAAAGTTTACACATCCAAAACACAAACAAAATGAGTCATCTACAAGTCATTTTGTTGTCTAAACTTGTGTTCTGGGGGCCTAGAAATCCACTGGACTTGTTTAAATTGCATTTAGTTAATATTCAAATCCAATATTTTGGTTTGCCAGTTCCTTATAAGGACATGACTCCATTATTACTCATCCCAGTCAGAGGTGTTGGTGATCTAAGAATCCAATTAGCATATTTATGATCGTAGGAACTACGTTTTTTTGTGTAAGTTTTAGTGTTTCTCTTATTTTCCTGCGATACTGTTATGATTGGCCGTGAAGAAGAAAAGATGAAGGACAGACCATCGGTGACATCAGAGGATGTTCTTCTCCCTGCTGCTGCTGTGTGTCGACAGAGAGATGTTTTGTGAATAATTGTTATACATTAAGTTGTGCATACCATGAAAAATGAAATGAAATGATAAGTACAATTACATTTTATAAATAAAGCTTTATTCTGTGTGTGTCTCCTCAGGCGGCACGCTGGGCTCTTCTCTGGGGGGAGTAACGGGGCTGGAGGGGGGGGTGGCTCCCCCAAAGTGCTGCTCACTAAAGACGGCAGTAACAACAGCTCGCTCAGCTCCGACGGGTCCTGGTTTGATTCCCCATGGGGGGGGGAGCTGACGGACAACCCCCCCTCCACCACCTTCTCCTCGGGGGACAGCGGCCTCGGAGACTCTCTGATCCTGATCCCTGTGTTGAAGACTCTGAAACCCCCATGGCCCCCGGTAGACCCCCAAATATCTCATTTATTGTACTTATTTATTTTTAAAATGTGTTTTTTTATTTACAAGATCTGAGTACTTCTACTTTTACGCAAGTACCTGCTCTGAGTACTTCTCTGTGTTTGCAGACTGACCCCCCCTCCTTCCCCACCTCGATGGATGCCTCTTCTTCTTCCTCCTCCTCCTCTTCGTCAGCGCTGGTGTTGCAGTGTAACTCCCCCCCCCCCCGCTGCCGCCCCTGGGAACAGCCGCAAAGACTTCCTGAAGAGCGTCCGCCGCCTCAGCGACTGGACAGGAAGTCTGACCCGGAAGAAGAGGAGGGTCCAGGTGAGAGACCACCGTCTGATGAGTCTGTTTACTGCCTTTCACTGCAGTTTGTATCACATTAAAGGTCTCCTATCATGCAAGATGCACTTCCTGATGTCTTCTCTACATCACCATGTGTCCCCGGTGTGTCCCCGGTGTGTCCCCGGTGTGTCCCCGGTGTGTCCCCGGTGTGTCCCAGTGTGTCCCCCGTGTGTCCCCCGTGTGTCCCCGGTGTGTCCCCGTGTGTCCCCTGTGTGTCCCCCGTGTGTCCCCCGTGTGTCCCCGGTGTCTCCCCGGTGTGTCCCCGGTGTGTCCCCGGTGTGTCAGGAGACTCTCAAAGTGTCAGGAAATAAAACCCTCTCTCTTCTCCTCCGTACCCACATCTCTAAAAACGGGGAACAACGGATCCAGATTTGCTGGTCATGA